TATATATATATATATATAAAATAATAGTCTTTTCAGCATTTTCGGTCAAAAGACCCCCCTCTGCGCAAATGTAATTACCTCACGTACTTCTCCAAAGGAAATAGCCAGGGACGCCAATGAACGAACAGCTTCTCTGAAATTAAAATTCTTATTAACTTCCGTTCCCGATACCCCGCGATCTTCAGGCATCTAGCCGCGGTAAATGCCTACATGGGCTACCTGCAGGCCACTGAAATAGAATTTGGCTGATTACAATTCTTTTAACTTACATACACAGGGACAGTGTGGAGTGGGGTGAGAGGTGTATCAAAGGGGTTGTTTCGACTCAACCGATTAGTATTGTGTACTTTTGGTCACCCAATTTGAAAATTTGGGATGGCTCCATAACCAATGCCAAGCTTTCAAAATGGAAGCTAGTATAACTCGATTACGTCACATTTGGACAATTTGCGCATGCGCAAACACAAAAGAATGGCAAGTCCAACTTTTAGTACATATCCAACTCTTTTAGTGTCAGTATCAATCTGCCTGTCTATGTATGCAAAAGTCACACACACACACACACACACACACACACACACACACACACACACACACACACACACACACACATATGTATATAAATAAAAAGAAAGAACAGTAAGATATATAATCCGGTGTTCTTATAGATATCTTTATTTCTACAAAATAGTGCTCAATGTAAATTTACAGATCATTAATATTATAAATTAATTGATTTAAAATATGGTTTTTATATATATATATATATATATATATATATATATATATATATATACTGGGTGATTCAAAATTATGTTAACACTAGTATGAGAGGAATCATTCATTCAGAGTTTACTGAACAGTCTCCACCTGCCCACCAGCACGACTGATGCACAAAAACCAGCGACCAAAAGTAGAATTAAGTGCCTTGACACACATTTCACGGGGAATGTTTGATATTACATCTTTTATTCTGTCCTTAATTTCTTCGATGTCTCTATTTTTTTTTTGCTATACACGCGATTCTTTATCCAACTCCATAAACAGGATGTAATTGACCCATATTTCTTTATAACTCCAACGGTGACTGCAAATGGTTACTTACAAATGTTACAAGAGTTTCTTATTGATAATATACCCCAACAGATCAGACAAGCGGGGTATTTCTAACAGGATGATTCACCGCCTCATTTTGCCCGTACTGCTCGCCTTTCTCTCGATCAAAGTTTCCTAAATTGTTGGAATGGTCGCGGAGGATCGTTGGTATGGCCACAATACTCACTTGATCTGACACCCTGTGACTCATCTTTTCATACTAGTGTTAACATAATTTTGACTCGCCTATATACATATACATACATACATACATACATACATACATATATATATATATATATATATATATATATATATATATATATATATATATATAAAGTGAACATAGTCTGTTTCATGCCATAGGCAATCGACAGTCTGTTTCATGCCATGGCAATCATCAGGCCATTGCATCTAGCATCTACAGACTGTCACTTTTATATTTACACACGTTCTATCTCTGATATTGAGCACTTTATCCCATAAATATAGCACATCTTAAGACTATATATTATTATATATATATATATATATATATATATATATATATATATATGATGGATGTGTGTCTGTGCGTGTGTGCTTCTCTGTGTGTGTGTGTGTTTTTTGTGCAATAGTCATCCTTCTTGAACATTGTGATTCTGTGGGACAAGCAGCAACAACTAAAATAGATAGCAGATGGAACTTGAAGAGAAAATAATAAAAATCAAAATATTAACATTCCACACTACTATCAAACCCAAGAAAAGTTTTCAAAGTTTCAACCGAAAACAGTACTGGCTGCTCGGTCAATGAATGCCAAATGTTTCCTTATAGTGACATGGCTATTATTACTATGTATGTATATATATAATCTATTATATAAATATTATATATATTATATGTGTAGATATGTAAAAAAATAGGAAAGAACACGTTAGGTAAATAATCCGGAGTTCTTTAGTATTTTTGTTTTCATTTTTAAAATCCCTGCTCCATACAGAAGTAGAGCTTAAATTATAATTATTTTGTTTTAAAAATATGATTCCTTCGCTACATAAGAGTTCTCGTGAAAAAGGGCTTGATACTTTAGTCCAATTTAATTTTAATAATTATATTGAGGTTTTCGGCTCTCGTTTTTGAAACATGAGAACTCTTATGTAGCGAAGGAATCATATTTAAAAAAAATAATTATAATATTATATTATATATATAATACATATATATTTTATATATATACATATATTATATATATTTTATATTATACATTTATTATATATATTATTATTATATATATTATACATGTATTATATATATTATATTAAGTAATTATATATATCCTATAATCTATATATGATATAATATATTATATATTATATAATATTAATATACATAATATATTTATATATAAAATATTTATATAATATATATATATATAATATGTTATATATATATATATATATACACACACACACACACACACACACACACACACACACACATATATATATATATATATATATATATATATATATATTCATATGCTATATGCCAAAAATATGATTTCAAAATTTAAAATATTATTGTGGATTACTTTTCATTGCATGCAGTAGTCACATTATAAATAGTTATGAATATAAATAATTATTATATATATAAATAATTATTGATCGATTTTATCATTGTGATTGCATTATATCAAATGGCATTATATCATTATATATATATTTATATATATTATCATTATATATATATTATTATATATTATATCATTATATCAATTATTGCATTATATCAATATTGTTTTATATCAAATACTAGCAGTAGAGCCCGGCGTTGCCCGGGGATGTAACAGTAACAGATAGATCAAGTATTGACCATCATAAAGACTGAAAAATAAAATTGACAAAGATTATTATTTAAGGTTGACGGACACGCATGTCTTAATTAGTTTTTTTGTTTTTTTTGTTTTTTTTTTACGAATTGGTAAAACCCAAACTCAAACAGAAACATTGTTTTCAATCGTTACGAGTCTATCGATTGAATAGAATTTTATTATAAACAATTGTCTTGTAAATGGAATTTTTAAAGCATTCTGAATGTCAAAATAAAGTAAAAAGTGTGCAAGACAATAAGAAACACTACCTGCTAAAAAAAGTCAAGTTTTGTTAAAATCAGTTGAAAAATGTTGGAAATTCGATCCCATATATAAACGAACACACACACACACACACACACACACACACACACACACACACACACACACACACAACCTGGGTTTTATAATTATTATAACTCGATATGTCCCTCTTTCATTCTGGCGACAGAATCGTGTTTTATCGTGTTTTCAAATTGATTTCGTGCAAAAACAATTGTGTTTTTCCAATTTTTGGCGCTGTCAGAACCACCGCAAGGTAATTTTATGTAGTCCTGTGAAGTTTTGTTGAAATTGGTTGAAAAATGTAGGAAATCCCATCCAATATATAAACTTACAGACAGACACACACACACAATCTGCGTTTTATAATAAGTAAGATTAACAATATCGTAACTAGGCTCCGCAAATTGGAGGAGAGTATTATCAATGATAATGTTCTGACTTCTTTCCTATCATCCTCTCTCATCTCTCTTAACTTAGTGGAGTGACACTGTCAAAAGGAACCTCCTTTCTTTTGCATGCATACTCGTGTATTTTTTCCTTTTTATTCAGTCATATAAAAAACCAAAATTTGACATATTGTCTTGTTGAAATTTATTAATTCCTTACATCAGTGTTTCCCAAACGATGTGTCGCACATCATAGGTGCGGTGGAAGAGGATAGCAGGTGAGGCGGGGGTGATTGAAATACAATCAAAGATTTAGAATCGGTTTCAACGAATTAATATACCAAAAATAAATATGATTTAAAAAAAAAATATTATTATGGATTACTTGTAATTGCATGCATGACTCCCAGTATAAATTGTTCTAAATAATTACTGGCCGATTTTATCATTGGGATATTTTTGCATTATATCAAGTATTAAGAATATATAGTATATATAGTAACTAGGGTCTTCAAATTGGAGGAGAGAGTTATCAATGATAATCTTGTGATTTTCAATACGTGGTTATCTCCCTTTAACGCTCTTTCTGTGCTTTTTAAATTTTTAAATGTACATTTTAGCACATAAAATTTGATTAGGCGCGAGCAAATTTCTATTCCGAAAATGCGACCCAGATAAAAAGAGGGTGGGAACCACTGCTCTAGAAAAAGCGAAAGGCAACCAACTGAATATTTATTAAAGCACGCACACATGTGAATATTTCTTGCTACTTAAACTTTATTTTTAGTGGGTACATGTATTTAGTGGGTACACGTATTTAGTGGGTACACGTATTTGATTTGTTATCCTTATTTGTTTTTTTTTTTTATTAAACAGTTTAATTAATAAATTCCGGGGTGGATTGAGAAGTCCTCCTACTAAAAAGGATGGTGCCTCTAACAGGAATTGAACTCATATCCCCCTTTTTCATCAGTGGAAATAAATTTTCTATCATTATAAAAAAGATGAAAAATAAATGTCTGGTTTTCAGTGGGCTGATTTAAAATCCAACAGGCATCAACAGCTCTAACATATATACACGAAAACAAAGAAAATTTCTGGTTTCTGATCGCCGGAGCTGATAAGGTAATTTCATTTATTGCCCATCTTATCCTCAAAGATCGCAACGCATTTTCCTGACACGCAGTTTTTGCTTTCATTCTAACCTGAAGAAGCCAAGATTAACAGAGGTCAGCGCAGAGCGCCATTTATTAAGCTTCTCACACACACACACACACACACACACACACACACACACACACATATATGTATATATATATATATATATAAGATTTTGCGTATAAGTGTCGATCCATTTTCAAAAATCAGAATTTCGGCAGTATTCCCTTCTTGGTCGACCCGGTAACTTTTCGTGATGTCCTTATCTATCTATCTATCTATCTATCTATCTATCTATCTATCTACTCCGTCGTAGCCATAATCTATCTATCTGATATGTTCCGGAAATGGATATATTTGAACGAAGTAGCTAAGTGGTTTTGGCTACTATAACCAATTAGAATACGGTAGCAGTAATCGACTGGTACGCGTCGTAGTCGCAGGTAAGAAGTGTAGATCAATGGCGTAGTCCAATCGGCGTCGTTATAGACTTAGCTCTCAGACTAAGGCTCTTTGACCTACACGTACGTCGGTATCTATGACGGACACCAGCCAATCATATTCCAGTGAGAGGGAACACAAGTGTATGCATATTCCATTATATCATTATCTATCTATTTACTCAGTCGTAGCCATAATCTATCTATCTATCTATCTATCTATCTCAGTCTATTTGTCTATCCTCTTCACCTCTCTTCACATCTCAGCCTCTTCACATCTCAGCCTCTTCACATAATCTCAGCCTCTTCATATCTATCATGTTCATTATCTATCTATCTATCTATCTCAGTATGTTTATATCCATCGCGATTTCTTCATTATCTATGCATCTATCTACCTATCTATTTCTCTGTCGCGATTTGCTCATTATCTATCTATCTATCTATCTATCTATCTATCTATCTATCTATCTATCTCAGTCTGTATCTATCTATCTATCTATCTATCTATCTATCTATCTATCTCTCTATCTCAGTCTGTATCTATCTCTATATCTATCTATCTATCTATCTATCTATCTATCTCAGTCTGTATCTATCTATCTATCTATCTATCTATCTATCTATCTCAGTCTGTTCATATTCATTCATATCTATCTATCTATCTATCTATCTATCTCAGTCTGTTCATATCTATCTATCTATCTCATCTATCTATCTATCTATCTATCTATCTATCTCAGTCTGTTCATATCTATCTATCCATCTATCTATCTATCTATCTATCTATCTATCTATCTATCATCTCAGTCTGTTCATATCTATCTATCTATCTATCTATCTATCTATCTATCTCAGTCTGTTCATATCTATCTATCTATCTATCTATCTATCTATCTATCTCACACTCTTCATATGTGTCTATCCTCTTTATATCTATTTCTTCTCGGTTTCTTCATAGACCTATGCACACTGAGTTTGAATTTGGAGATTGGAATGTCTCTGTTGTCACGAGTGCGTGATGTTATTTTTCAAAATCATTTCGAAAGATAGAAAATAATAGACGGACTTCTAATTTCATCTAATTTCTTTCTTTCTTTCTAGATAATGACTGAATTCAGTCGAAAGCACAGAACTTTCACCACGAACTATAAACAATTCGATTGCACATTCAATCCAAAAATATGGAACCTGATTGGTCAAGGAGATGCTTTTATAAAAAAAAAATACGTCTCTTTGTCTCTGTTCGTAATGAGTGCAAGCGTGTTCTCAATGAAGCAAAGTTACTATATGCTGATAGAACAACGTATTGCATTTCGCAAGTTTGGTTCTAAAGATTACTGGCGTCGCTGCAAGAGTGTGCAGAACAACAGAAAATCCACAATCCCTCCTCTATTCAATTAATTCGAAGTCCTAACTTCTTCAGCTGATAAAGCTGACTGCTCTGCTCGGAAATTCTCATCCAACTCAACTCTTCTGGCGTACCCACACCTGATTATACCTCCTAGATATGAGGCTCTATTGAGCGAGATGAGCATAACCCTATCGATGGTATTGGACATTATCTCTAAATTAGACTCTCATAAAGCAAGTGGTTGTGACGGGATACCAGCCGGGGTCTCAAATAAATGTGCTCCTGAGCTAGCTCCAATTATCTCCAAATTATATAACTATTACCTCGCTGAATATTGCTTTCCAGTCTGTTGGAAGTCCTCGTGTGTTGACCCTGTTTTAAAAACTATAGAGGCCCTTCTAACCCATCTACCTACCGTCCTATCAGTCTCTTACCATTCTTCAGCAAAGTCTTTGAGGCTTTAATCAATGCTGTACTATTACTCCCGGGAAAGGTATGAATTTATTTCTTCTCACTCCCACCCACTATGGTAATAAAGAGACTAATCTGGGTCTTATGGCTTTGGGCAGTGTTCAAGTGGAACACACCTATTCTATAGTTAATAGACTCTCCCACCTATAATAAGTAGGAGTAGTAATAGAAACGGCAGTCAGTCAGTCGATGTCGGACGACAGTTAGTCGAATACGAAAGTATCAGCAACCACAACTAGATTACTCTGCGTATTACCTATTATATCAAGTTCCTAACGTTTTGTACGTCGAACCTATTTTAGGACCGACTTAGTACAAATACAAGCCTCCACTGGGAAATCACTCTACAACAGGCAGCAACTGGTCAAGGAGAAAGACAACTGAATTTAAAACCACCAGCTATAGGTTAAATAGTTGGAAAGTCTGTACTCTTGAGTAAAATTGGATAGACTGGGTTCTATAGCTTTGGATGGAAACCAGTCTAGAAGGACCAATCGTACTGACTGGAAGATCGCGACTACGGTTGACGTCCATCTGTCCACGGGGAAGAAATCATTTTTTGCAGATGTCTGATTGCAGAAGAGATGCAGATGGTTGCCCGCTCGTTTGTTCGTTTCGATCTATTAAATTACAATTCTTGTAAAAATTGATGTTATCCAAATTTAAAAAGCTTACGGTCAAATCACGCTGAAAACACCGGTTCTCGTTCGATCACCGAAGTTAAGCATCGTAGAGCCAGGTCAGTACTTAGATGGGGGACCGCTTGGGAACACCTGGTACTGTAAGCCCCCAAAGTCCAACCCTTACCTCACAGTCGGTGGGGGGGTGTAAACGGTAGTGTCAGAGCTATGCCGCCCGGAACTTCGTTCCTGGTAGGGCCACCCAAGGCGGACAGGTCTGACACACATGCCGGCTAACAAGGGCTCTGGTGAAAATCCAAGGAGCGTCTGCATCGGTAACCGGCGGCTTCTGGTCGTTCCTGTCTCTGCGTCTGTGGGAACTCCGCGGCAAGCAAGAACGTTATCCGAGTAGGCCTGGGTACCCAACTTCTGTAATTTATCCCAAGAATCTTCTTCTCACAACAGGAAGAAGCCGGCTCAATCCGCCCAGGGTGAATGCCGCATCAAGATATGTGCCTTTTGTTGAAGTTATATTTTCGAATACAAAGTTTGACTTAAGAAACTGTAGGATATTATATGGATTGATGCCATGAAAAAGTTCATGTTAGTTACTTGGTAGCAATTTAAACGGATTTAGGTGAAGTAGTCACAATGTTTTAGTAAGTACGTAACACCATAAATACTTAGTTGTAAATTGATGACATTGGGAAGGTCGTGGTTGGTTGATTTTGTTTAGCGGCATATCAACATCTCTATGGGTTATTTCATACCGAAATCTAAATATTTTGTACACAATTATATGGCTTCAACTAAATATATTTTGAACGCCTTCAACTAGATATAAAATGGTGGTTTTCTAAATGTTGCTTAGATGTGGCACAAGGCCGAAATTATGGGGCACCCAGTGAAGATCAAACTCACTACTCAGTCGTAATTGTTCTAGCTTGCTAACCATTACACCACCCCGAGATGCCCAAACTAAAGATAAAATTTATTGTAAATCATTTTGCTTTAAAATATTCTGCTGGTAATTTTAATATGAATATGTATTGTTGGTAATTTTTTTCATATAAAAAGGTATTGCTGCTATTTTTACTATAAAAATGTATTTTTATACTTTCATAGATTTTTTTTTGTTTTGTTTAGGGGGTTTACTCTGCCCATAGCTGGGACCCTAACAGGTGCTACCACCGCGGGTAAGGATGGACCTTGGAACATCAGCAATTAAGAGGTGGTTCCACGTTCCTCAAAACCTCCAATCTCCAGACCAAAGCCGGATATAGCTTATCGTTATATCCCAGGACTAAAGCTCCGAATGAAGCTAGTTGATTCTTAAAGGTGGGATGATGTATATAGAGCATTTTTCAAGGCTTTTGATGTTCCTGGATCGACAATTCGATGCATTATCAAGAAAGAAACCAAAACTCATAGTATTGACAATGTGTTAAGGATTTGGAGAAAACGGTTAATTTTTGAGAGAATCGCAGGTGAAATTATCAGAGTTGTCTCGAAGATTACCCACTTAATTGCAAAAAGTTTAGCGGCGTATCAACTCATTATGTGTCATTTAATGCCAAAATTTGATTTTCTTGGGAGCATTATTAATTTCTCTAACAAAAATGCTGGTAATTACTATAAAAAAGTATTGCTGTTATTTTTGTTTGTTTGTTTAGCGGCATATCAACTCCTTATGGGTCATTTAATCCAAAAGTTTAATTTTCTTGGGAGCTTTAGTAATTTCTCGTATTTTTTTTTTCAAAAATGTATTGGTGGTAACTTTTACTATTGTTGAAACTTGACTAATGCATGGAATAATAATGCAACACAAAAGGTACTTAGAACAAAATGTATTGAAACAAGAAAGTGTACACAATATTTACATATAGTCCTTTGTATATTCCTGGGAAGACCGTTCCTGGAGAATGTGTTAACTGAGTCGCAGTCGGGCAGAGTCTCTGGTTGAATCTTTTGATTACCCCCTCTCTTCCCGGTACCAACCATATTTATATGGTCGGTACTCCACTATGCAAATTAGGTGGATCCTACCACAACAACTAGAAAAATGTATTTTTATACTTTCATAGTTTTTTGACTCCAGTTTGGGGGTTTAACTATTTGCCCATAGTTGGGACCCTAACAGGTGCTACCACCCCTGGTCAGGGTTGATCTAGGAACAACAGTGATTAAGAGGTGGTTCTATGCTCTTCAAAACCTTCTGGTTGGGAGCCTTCCTGCCGAATGTAGTTTATCGTCATCGAATACTTTCATCGATCAGGACTTCGAGGTTGTAATTCAAGGAAAACTTCTCTGCTTAAGGTTAAATCCCTGAAAAGCAGATTGGCTTTGAACATAGAGTGAATATTGAAACTTTGTTTCATGGCGATTTTCTAAGCGTGGCATAGATGCGACACAAGGCTGAAAGTGTGGAGCACCCAGTGAGGATCGAATTAATTATTCTGTCATAACTGATCTGACGAGATAAGCTTGTTAACCATTACGCCATTTCGAAGTGCTCTTGAAACTGTTTTATGTTCAGACGAGATGAATCTAGAACTATTTGGTCACATGAATTCCCAATAAGTATAGAGGAAATCGAATGAAGCGTGGAAACCAAAATTTCCCTCCCTACAATTAAGTGGTGATGGTCCGCTGTTTCTGGAAAAGGTGAGCTAGTGAGAGCATAGGGTGTCATAGATAAAGAACAGTATTTGGCTTAGTTTGGTTTGGTTTGGTTTGGTTTGTTTTACGGCATATCAACCTCATTGGGTTATTTAATGCCGACAACTTTTTTTTTCCTGCTAATATTTTGTTTTGTCAAAAATCTATTTCTGGTAATATTTTTTTCCTCAAAAATGTATAACTGGTAATATTATTTTAAAACATGTATTGCTGGTAATATTTTTTTTCAAAAATATATTGCTGGTAATAGTTTTTTTCTTCAGTAATTTATTTCTGGTAACAATTCTTTTACAAAGTATCTCTAGTATTAAAACCCATTTTTACACTTTTATAATGCTTTTTACGTCAGTTTCGGGGTTAACTATTTGCCCATAGCTGGGACCCGAACAGGTGCTACCACCCCAGGTCAGGGTGGACCTGGGAACACCAGCAATTAAGAGGTGGTTCCATACTCCTCAAAAACTCCTGATCAGAGGCTTTGCTGTTATACGTAGTTTATCGTCTTACCCAGGACGCGGATGTAGTTTATCGTCTTACCCAGGACGCGGATGTAGTTTATCGTCATACCCAGGACGGGGAACAGTATTTGGGTATTCTTAAAAAAACAACTATAAAACAAAGTGAACAAAAACTGTCTTTGGGGAGCCACTGTACGTTCCAATACGACAATGACTCGGAATATTTATCACGAAATCCTTAGATGACAGCAAAATTTAGGTATTGATGTGCCCTCACAAATACCTGACCTCAACCCCAGTAAAACTTTATTGCCGTATTTGAATAAGATAAAAAAGGCCGGAGACAGAAATCCTTTGAATTTTGAAGGAACTACAAGAT